CTCGCCGCAGTAGCGGCAAGAACCGCGCGAGGCGTTGCGGTTTTTGCTTCCGTTAGCTGCTGCCCATTTGGCCCACACAAACTCAGTCACTCGCAGGCGTTCTAAACGTGCCTCTAATGCTGCCACAAGGAGTGCGAATGTGATATAGCATTTTATACGTATATATGTACATATTTGCAGTTGTATTTATGTATGGCTGTGGATATTTGTTAGTTTTGTTGGCCATTTAAGCGGTGGCGGTTTTCTCGTGTTTGCATAAAGGCGTATTTAAGCGCGACACTTACTATTTATATATAGGTACATATGTACATACATATGTACCACTTGCCACATGCTTTATCGTAGCCTTTTCCATGCTTGTTTGTCTGGTTAAGCGTTCTGCCACAATGTTATTGTTTTTGTTGTTAAACTTTGTTGCTTCCATAGTACATACACACATGGCTATTGTTGTTGTTGTGTCAGTTCACATTGCTCTGCGGTACTGTCCTGCGCAACGGCTGCTCCCGCCGCTGCAAGTGACACATTTGTTGTCTTGTTATTTGTTGAGGCTCTTGTTGCCTCTGCCACAACCGCAATGCTACAACGACGTTACACATTCACATACATATGTATGTCTATATATGTAAAGATATGTATACGTACTTATATGCAAGAAAGTGTTATTGCAATTGCGGTTACTTACTACAAATGGCACCCGCATGCCTTCGCAACGACCGCAACAACAGCATCGGCAATACAACAAAAAAAAAATGTTTTAGTTCAACGCAGTTCAGTTGCAATTCAACTGTAACGCTGTTGGGTTGGGTCGCGACGACCCGTCAAGTTTTACTGCTCTATTTGCATAGTTGTGCGTCTTTACTTTCCACACCCGTTCGTTCATTTGCAACTTGGTAGTAGTAGTAAATACTCGGTATATGGGTCAACATAAAAATGTCAAATTCAGACACTCACTCACTCACTCATCCACTCCCCTCCCACACACACACACACACACACACACACACATAGTGATCCATTTAGTCATTCAATCAAATTGTGCCGGCACTGCCCTGTCAACAAAGGTCAAATGCAGCTTTACTAGATTATTTTCACCTCTTACAGCAGCGTGTGCATTTTGCGTAGCCTCTTCAGCGTTTATCCCAGCACCCAATTCGACCACAAAGTCAACAACCATCCGCATCATAGCTTGCCACCAATCGCTTTAGTCCCCCGTTGGTGACCCAAATAACTACATACATATACATTTTTTTTTGAATTTCAAAGCCAACGCAAACGTTTGTGGCCGCTGTGCGCCTTTAAATATGCTACGAAAGTAAACCGCAAAAGTTGAAATTGCCAGTAGTAACAAGAGCTTTGTGTGTTGGGCGTTTTCATTTATCGAAGCTACGCGAGTAAAACGATGAAAGCAAAACCGAGAAAAGGTATTAAAAACAAGCGAAAAAGAACCACCACAACAACAACAACAACAACAACAACGACAAGAAAGATGACACAAAATGCGACGCCATAGTTACAAAGCAGTTTCCATTTGTCGTCTACTTTAAGTTACTTTGGTTAACTTTAATAACTTTTCAGAGGATTTACAAAAGGTAACGGTAACTAATCGAAAGCGTAAGCTTAAAGAGACGAAAAGTTAAATTGCATGGAAAATTTGTTGCGGTGGAAACATAATTTTGGGACTTGTGCGACATAGCAGCGGCCAAAGTTTGAATGGAAGTAGCTAAATATTATTTGCTGCGACTGCGGTAATGGAAATTTACTACAAATGTTTTACTTTAGACTTTAATTGCTTAGAATGTGTTTCACGTTCAAGGAGATTAAGGCATTAGGTTAAATCAGATATATGTATGTATGCAGCTGCGGTTGTGGTAAAGCAATTCCTCGTTGAAGGTTGGCACTGCGTGTGAAAACATTTAGGACTGTGGAGTGCGTATAGTTCACGTTGAGAACCCATGAGTCCTAAGTCGATCTGCATACACTTCTGGTGCACTTATTTCCTCTACATACATTGGTATGCATTCTTTGTCATTTTTTTTTTCAAAGTAGTTACGGAATGTTAGCTAGTTGATAGCTTTTGAATAAATCTGGATGTTGGAACCGTTATGAAAAATCTATGTATGCTTTAAAAATTGCAATAATAATTTGGCCAGCTCGCCGTGTTTTGTGAATCGATCTTGGGAGATTGATTTATTTTGTGCCGTTTTCTTCCAGCATCGATTATTTTTATTTCGATCTCAATCTCAATGGAAAAAATACTTCATGAGACATCCTCGTCTCAGTCTAGCTATATCTGGGCAAAGTTTGGGTATAGTCAATAAAAAATAATAAACTCTCCACGTCTTCAGAAACGTTGAGGTTAAGAGTTGCGCAGAAGCCGTCTACTTCGTGTTTACAGAACAGAACTGAACAGAATTGTGTAATATTGAAGTCGTCAACTTATCTGTGAGCACTGCTGAAGTCTTCAATACCAGTCCTCAGTGCAATGATCATTGGTAGATGGAGTTCATCATGTCTGCAATTTATTTAGAATGGAAACGGTCCAGCTAACGATGCAGGTAGCCGGTAGATGGATAGAGACGCGTTGCATCTTTCCAAACCGTTCCAAATGCAGAATATACAGATTTCATTGCTCAGCTCGCGACAGCTATCAATGGCTATGTTCAAAATTGGCAGTACTTTGGCTGGACCTTCCCATAGTACTGTAGAAATATTGTTTTTTGTTTGAATAGTGAGGCAATTTTTCGCTTTAATTGAAAATTGCTAAAGTAGTCCCTCTCTTGAAAATACCCGATAAGATCAGGAGCGATCATTGATCTTATCAGGGTATCGGCCAGCTTCCGGTACTTGGCAAAGTGCATGAGCGGGTCACGATTGAGTGACTTCAAGAGTTAGCGCGGGGTAGCATACGGGATAGGCGGTATTGTTTTAGAAAAGGACGTAGTATACAGAATGCATGGTTGAATATTCACAGTGCGGTACGGGGGAGTGTCAGAAAATATGTCCTTGGCATATTTGTTGACTTTAGGGCGATTTTGATTACCTACGTTGGGATAGGATAGTTAAGTGTCTGAACCTGCTTGGGTGCACAGATACAGATCTCTGGCGTGTTTGGGTGTTTCGCGGCTGTCCGATGAGACCTATCTGTGGTCCATTTATTTTGAATCTTTTGATGTTGATGGATTCCCTTCTTGGGCAGCTTGTGCCGCACTGTAACTGTAAGAGCCAGTTTAGAGGTAAAGTTGAGCACAAGAAGGACCAGCTATTTGATATTGTCAATAGCTGGAGCCGACGTAAGCGAGTGGGCATTTCGGTGGACAAACGGTGTCTATGCTGCTCAACGCGAATCTGTCCTTTGGAGGTACACCAGTGGATCGGGTTAACGGAGTCAGTCTTAGGTATGCGACGCAAGTCAGGTATTTTGGGCTGAGCGCATGAGCTTTGATCCCTACCTTGTGCGCCTAAAATACAGACTGGTCGACTGAGGCCTTGACCGACGTACTGTTCGTACCATGTATCGTGGCCTATTCGTGGCCTATTCGTGGCTTATGCTACTTTCGGGTGCAATATTTTGTTCGATACATGTTTGTCGGTTTTGGGCCCCCAGGTCATGCGCTGATTAGACGGACGCACTGCAGGTAATGATGGGACGCGCCTTCTTGACTTTGGGGCCATACTGCGGGCTATGATCTTCAGGTTAAGAAAGGGCATGGGCATTCCGCCATTTACGGGGTGTATCGCAGACGGTGACACACAAAGGGGCTTAATTAACAGTTGCTGGGGGACAAAGTCCCCGTTGGGCTAATGGGAGATAATCCGGACTTCGGGCTTTGTCTGAGTTTACGTTTTCTCCTAACGAAGCACAGATCTCTTAATGCATTTTTGCCTGAGAGGAACTTGCACGATTCCGATGCGTATGAGCGTAGAGCGGAGACAGAAGATGTAGAACATGAGCTCTGTGAATGCCAGATGTACTCGAACGAGACGAATGTGGACAGCATGGTAGTAAAATGAACGGATTGACGATATGACTTTGGTAGAGCCCACTCCACGCGTTGGACAGCGTCTGACATGGGACAATTTGCGCGTGAAGGTTTTAGGAGGCAAAGGCGTGCAGAGTAAGCAGTGTGTCAATGGTCACCAATCCATAGTAGTATGGTAACTCCACAGGTGGTGGCTTTGACTGGAGACTTAAATTTGGTACACTCCAGCAGAAGCGTGCTCCAACCTACACATGCGACACGGCCCTTCTGGGAGCATCGTGGTGGTTATGGTTTAGTACCAAATGTGGCATTGTATTGCCACTGGGTGCCGGACCCAAAGTACGGCAGTCGTTTAGATAGGCGTCGAACCTTACCAAAGTGGTTAGTGTGTCCGTTCCGCATTGCCGATTTAATAGTACGTAATGCTTGCATTTTCGAGATTCAGGTCAACGATCTGCTGTGCGTTTGACTACCCCGGGGTTAGGCCGTCGTTGGCAGACACCCAAGTTAAACATCTACAGACATTGTCTGAATAGTGAAATCCCAACAAATGAACCCCTTTACGCGGAATTGTCGCGTGTGCCATTTGTTCGAAATTGACTTTTTGATGCAAATTTGTTTCACAAGTCGAAAACGTTTTCGTGTTAAATTTGCTGTCCGGCAGAGTATATACGTAAGTAACTTAATTATGTCAATACCTGCAGTTGTGAAACAAATGCATAACTACATACTTATACGAAAAAAATTTACATAATTTTTCATAAAAAGCTTTTAATAAACTCTTAAAAATGTTACAAAAGTAATAAGAGCATTTAGTTCATATTACATTCAACATACTTCCAACACATAAAAATTTCATTAAAAAAATGCAACATTGTTTTTACTTTTGCACATCATTTGCACAATTAGCTTGAGCGCTACAGAAAATTAATATTAAAAAATATATAATTAAATAATATCGGTAAACTCTATTTGCAAATATTTCATTCCGTATTTCTTTTTTATTTTTTTACAGATTGCATTCAACTAAAGTATTTATTATTATACTCGCGGCGTGGAGTCAAATATGCATGTTGGCAATTGCGGTCATACGCCGTCGTATGCAAACAGACAACAAATAAAAGCTACAACAGCTGCGAAAAAACCACTGATTGCAACAAAATTCATGCTAAAAGCTATAATAGTTAATAGTAATAACGAAAATAAAAACCAACCACTTGATAAGTGCAACTGTGCTGATACTTGATTGGTAACAGCAGCGACAACGGCAGCCACAAGGGTAGCAGCAGCAGCAAAGTGGCAATAAAAACGTTTAACCAATCAAATTAACAATCATTAAAATATTCATACAGCCGTGAATAGTGAAATACATACCTAACGCACAACGAACGGTTAAATGTGTAGTTGAAGAGAGACCACTAATAAAATAGTTACATAGCTTACCTATACTCAAAAGCAGCTAAAAAAAAAGGTAAGTGCGGGAAAGTGTTTTATTAAAAAACTATTTATTATGAAAATGCAAAAAAAAAATTGTATCTATCAGAGGAAAATCATAAAACGTTTACTTTTTTATTATTTCATAATGACGTTGAGTATGTTGCTATGTAATAGCTGCAGTTTTTTTTCATCCTTGGTTGCTCTATGCATTATTGATTGGTCTTAAAAGCTATTAATAGTAGAATGCGGTTGCGCATTTTTAAGGCAATTATTGTAATGAAAGGGCGCGAAAGTTGCTTTAGGTGTAAAAAAAAGCAAGTTTTACGTAAATGTTTAATAGTTCACGCTTTAACATACATACATACATTTTATGCGTTGAAAGGCTTTGTTGGCTATTGAAAGTTTTACGGTTTTGTTTGGCTGCGCCATTTATTAGTTTTCCAAAGATCCTATAGATGTGCATTTTGAGCGTTTTTTACTTTTACTTTCAGTGAGATTTTTCGATACTTTAGATCATCAATTACTTAGTGTTCGCAAGGCTGAAAAATTGATAACAAAAATTAATTGATTAAAGATTATCTCACTTCTAAGGCAATCACTTAGTTCAGGATTCGTAAAAATTTAAGACTTTTAAGAAAAAAGCGAACTGAAACCTTGCACTGCACTACAGTTTGTCGAAACAGTCAGAAATTAGTAGGAATGATGTCCGAAATAGATTGCAAATGTGGCACTACTACTAAACCCTGTCCAAAATCGTTGAACTAACGATAGACTCACTAAACATTTTTTAGGCTCAAAAATTTTCCTTTTAAAAGTCACTTTAAAGGGTCTGATATCAAGCTGATATTTGAACCAACGAACTTCTTTTTTTTTTTTTACCGTACCAAAACATGTAAAGAGCTTTTTAAGAAAAAAAATAGCATGCGTTTTTCGCAAGAACAACTGACGACGATGATTGTAAATCGCATTTTCTATGCATCTTTGGCTCTCGCTGGACTAAGGGCGCTTTTTTTTTTGGTCAGATATTTTCCAAAGTGATCAACAATATTCGCCGGCCTCCTTCAGTCTTCTAAGATCCTTTCAGAAATCATAAAGGCTAGAGAGCGAACTAATTTTGTAGTTTTCTTTATTCATACCTGCTGCCTTGGGCCTGCGTTACAAAAAGCCGTCAGTTTTTACTTTGATTTTGCTATCCATTTACCTATGCCAAAAGAGTAATCAGCAGACTTGAAACTAGGAAGAAATCTGCCAAAAGAAATCAACTAACGTTTATACTTGACCAATAACTAAACGTCCCAAAAATTTTAAAATGATTTAACTGGATCATTTTGGTCCAGAGTTCATAGGATGCTGGCAATTCCTTCTTACTTAGTCCTTTGCTTAAAAAATGTACTTGTAAAAGTCAGCTTTAACAAAGGGGGTGGGCGATCGAAGCTTTACGAACCCATAACAGCAATCCAAATACTCGGTAACTGGAGGAAGGACGATTGCCTCTTGTAAAAACGTGAATGTTGGAAAGCAAATTTTATAACGCGTGCTAGTGTGATCAGTTGCCCTGGAAACAACCAGAATTGATAGGATGCTGATAAGACGTCATACAAAGAACCAATTATGGAGGAACGTAATTGACCAGTCGGTTCTATCTATAGTTGTTACGGTGCGCCATCTTGATCACTGGATACTAGTAGGGCAACCCATAGATGTCGCCTGAACACCACCTGCGCAGCGATGTACAGCTGGCTTCTGGCGCCAGTTACACTCACACAAATATTTTTGGGAAGCCGCGTCTTGCTAAGCTTTTAAAAAAAAGGCATCTCTATGAACTCACTGGCGAGATCCAGACCTAAATCGCACAACCAATAGAAATGACATAGTACGGTTAGGGGGACATAATCTGAGGGACAATCACCACCACATTAACCAATTCTCGCCTAGTGAATTCCGTCATCGGAGTTCAAACCTCACCCATCGCAGCAAAAGTACTTCAGCTGAATCCAGAGACCCGTAACGTTATTTCAAGTTTTTGAAATAAAAAATTCAGAACAAAGTAGTCACGTCGAATTAGATAATTACCTAGACCTTTAAAACTATCTTCCAAAAGAAGGGTTTCAATTTTTTTTTATTCTGCTGAAACCAGTGGACTTATATAAAACTTTTGATATTTTTTGCGGAAGTACGAACGTTTTCCTAGTTCCTATATACCGGCCCACCTCTCACGGCCATTCACCCATTTCACAACAATGCACTAAAGAGCTCAAAGAAAGCGGGCTGAGCTTTTAAACTTTTTTAGTACCAGTTTATAATCAAGTCTTTTTGGTTAGTTTTCAAACTTGTTATAAAACTATTGAAAATGGAAATCGATTTTGACAAAAGCAGTATTAACATGAGGCGAATTCGTAAGCGATTCAACATCGCCTGAAATGTGCGCTTTCTAGAAAACTTAAACACAATTTACACAGGCGGTTTTGTTGAAAGCGATGTTGAGTTGCTTTGAAAATCGCCTCATGTAAATTCTGCTTAAGTGGTCTAGAACGTGCCAGAGTAATTAGACCAAGCATGGAGCTAAACGTATTTTATGTTATTACCTCGGTACCAAAATGGAAATTTTATGAAGTAAATTTCCTCGAAAAAATATTAAAGAAATTAAATTTTTACGAGATTTAAATTTGTAATTATTATCTCAGTCGACTAATTAGTTAATTAGTTTCTTTCTTTGAAAATAAAAATATGTATGTCATTTGACATGTCTCTTATTCTCCGCTATTACGCTGCAATCCACTAACGGATTGCACTTAAAACTTATAAGGTCCACGAAAAAAATTCCATCGAATTTATGAGCGCGTGAATATTTTCCACAAAGCATACAATTTTAATTTTAATTTATTGCTGGCCAGCAAATGACGACCAATTATAAGCCTCCAAAAGCGGAGGCGTCTTGTTTTATTATTGTCTTAGTTGCAAGGGAGGCATGCAACAACTCGGCACGCAAAAGCCACGCAACTATCAAGATGACTTGCTGCACCAATGCACACAACCACACACACACACGCATACATACTTATGTACGATGAGTACACAACATAAAGTAGTGGAATTAATAGGAGCCCAAATGAATGAGCCGCGTGCATCTGTTGCATCCACATGAATGCATATGTATGAAGATGTGTGCTGCCATGTATGAATTTGCGCATGCAACATAACTCCAGCGGAATATACAGCAGCCACAGTAGCAAGTAACAGCTGCTTTGTGAGCACAAGCAGTGGCGCATTGGCTGCTTTCTGCTGTGACTGTCGAGTTGGCGTGCGGGCGTGGAGCGACTGACTTGACTATTGGACCGACGGCGCATACGCTTGACAATTGCGTGACAATTATAATTGCTGCTCGACGTTGAGTCGCCAATGCAAGCGTTGGTTGCGTCCTCCGATGTGTTTATAATAATTGTGTGCATCTGAATATATGCACGTATGTGTGTATGTGCATTTGTCTGTATGCATACTACATATATCACTTGGCTTTCCATTCCGTCACGCGTTCCAAAATGCTCAGTGTTGCATGCATTTAACAATTAAATGAACAATACGCCATTGCACATACGCACTGTGTTGAAGCATTCAAACAGCAGCACCAGCAGCAGAAGTAGTGGCATAGCAGCGCAGTGGAGACACAAAGCCAGTGCCAGGCAATGAGGCAGTGAGGCAGTCAAGTGAGCGCCATCAACTCATTCTAGTTAAATGCAGCATTTCCAACTTTAACTTTGCTGCAGCATAAATTTAATTTGATGACAAAAGCAACATAGCCGCATTTGTTGCTGACTGTAAGTAGTTGGCTTTCGCGTCGCTGTAATTACTGCCTATTTCATATTTAGTCTACCAGTGCAAAGAAAATTTAACTCAACTAAGCTGCTGAGGCAAGTGAAGAAAATAATAAGTTTGGCATTAAAGGTTTGCATATGCACATTCATACTTAAATGGTGCATTAGAAACGCCAGCAAAAAAAAAAATAGATCTTGAGTTGTACACACAGTTAGTAGTCTGCCACCTGAAAGAAAGTTTGTTCGGCCCCTCTAGTTGAAATGTACACTCCGATACCTAAAGAAGATTAAAGCGCCACACATTTTTCCACTCTTACGAAGCCCTAAAGACCCCTACTTCGGAACATTTTCCACCACCGGTTATTGGTTAGTTTTAAATAAAAAAAGTGTTGTGTTTGGATCCCATGCGCTACTGAATTGAGATTTCTTCTTTCTATTACCCATTAGCTGACCATATTTTATGAGTATTTTTCTGCATAACATTTATCTTAGTATCAATCTCAATCTCAGTCTCAAACTGAATCTCAATGTCAACCTCAATCTCAATCATAATTCAATCTCAGTTTTAATCGTAAATTCAATCTTAATCTTAACCTTGATCTACATCTTAATCTTAATATTGACCTCAATCTTAATCTTAACCTTGATCTACATCTTAATCTTAATATTGACCTCAATCTTAATCTTAACCATATTCTTAATCTTAGTCTTAATATTAATTTTAATATTAATTCCAATTTCAATTATAATCTTAATCTTAATTTTAATCTTCATCTCAATCATAGTCGTAATATTAATCTTATTCTCAATCATATTCGTAATTTTAATCTAAATCTAAATCTTAACCTTTTTCTTAATCTTGATCTCAATATTAATCTAAATATTAAAATAAATCTCAATCTCTATTATAATCTTAATCTTGACCTTAATTCTAATCTAAATCTATATCCATATACTTATATCAGCCCAAAACCTCAATTTAGGTCTCAAACGAAATCTTCTTCTCAACGTAATTCTTAGACTTAATATAAATCTTAATCTTGATTTTGATTTTAATCTTAATTTTAATTTTTATCGTACCCAACCACCTTTGCCATCCTCTCTTTTTGGTTTCATTGCAGTTTGAAATTAGAGCCCAACGCTTTTATCGATATTTCCAAAAACATCACTGTCTCTCGCCAATTATTTCCATCAAGTGTAGGCAGATTTTAATGAACCTATT